ACCTTCTTGGGCTATAATGACTTTGGAACCTACATTCTTAACACAATCCTCAAGAGGGATTATTTATGAATCATTTATAATTACCTCTTGAGTTTCAAACTTCATTCCAAACTCATTATCATATGAAATGGATATTTCTTCATTAAAACACACATTAGATGCATCACTTTGATCAAAATATAATCCGTTATCACATACAACATTCCTACCATTCATAATAGGGTCATTTTGCATATTATTAGAAGAAATAACTTCACACAATACATGTAATTGTTCTTGTATTCTACAAAAGTGAGAGGTTAATTCATCTAGTCTTTCCTCAACCCTATCAAAACGATCGGAAGTCGCATTAGCTAGCTTTTCTATGGCTAAATCAAATAGATTAGAAGAATTTTCTACAGCTAGCTCCCAAGATGCATTAGAATCATTAGCTAATGGTTCACTTTCTAATTTCCAAGGTAGAGGTGCATTTGCTAACCTTTCTATTGCCAATTCCCAAGATGGTTTTGATTCATAGTGGACACATTCGGATTGGTAATCATATAAACAAGGAGAAGCACTATTAGTACATTGATTATCCCGACCATAATCACAAGAATTGCCCCAATTAGAATCATATTGATCAAGATAAGGATTACAATGTCAAAATTTATCATAATAATCCTATTTTGTGCTTGTTTACATGTATAAGTAGCATGATAATCTCCACACAAGTCACAAATCATATGATTAGAATTAAAAGTATTAACATTTCTCTTTTGCTCAATCTCATGCTTAATGGTGTCCCATTGAACTTGTAACATTATAACATCAAATTTAGCCTTTAAGCACCTTAAACCATCTTCAAATGGCATACCTTCGATAATTTCTTGGTTATCTCTATTCAAGGAGCTTTGTACGTAGTAACCATCCATTGCCGATCTTCCACTTCTCATGCATTGTACTCCAAATTGACCTACCCTCCTTATTACCTAAAATTGCTTTTAAACAGCTTAAGAGCAAGATTAGTAAGAAGAATAGGTGAAAAAATGCATACACACAATAAACACAAAAATAAAATAAAATTCAAGACTAACAAAACAAATTAGACTCAATTAATACACAAGAAAAAACTACTAAAATGTCTAAACTAATAAAGTTGCTCTTCACGCCGATATTGCCACTAATCTTCCCCGGCAATAGCGCCAAAAACTTGACGGGCTTTTGATACAAGTACAAGTTTAATTTTGAAATATACCCGTTTTGACTGCAAGTATACAGGTCAAATTAGTAGTTTAGGGCAAATATCAGGTCGATCCCACGAGAAAGATTGGACAATTACCGGTACTACTAAAACTTCTCTATTATTTAGACGATCAATGAATTAACAGAAATAAAACTGTGCTAAACTTATGCAAGATAATAACAAATGAAAATTCCTTAGGTTATGGTATTCCTAACTACTCATGCAAATGCTATTTTTGGATCATTGATTACTACTATTTTGGCTAACTATTGCGTAATTTCCTTATGCATGTGAAACCTACTCTCGTAGTGAATTAACTATACTTATAACTAATCCATACCTACTCTCGTGGTTATGAAATTAGTTACAAGTTAATTACCTCTATGAAATTACATGAAATGAATCACCAAAACCACAAAGGTGCACCTCTACTCTCGTGAGTGTACTTTCTAGGTTTAACACTTCTTGAACTAGTGTTAAATTCCAATTTTCATTGAAGATACAACACCTTTAGATAATTACAATTAATAGTACCAAGTTAATCATGATTTAAAGAACTAAAGTGCTAAATAAATTGTTCAAAATAATAGCATCAAATAGCCAAATAACAAACACTAACAATCATAGAAAGTTCAACCAAACCCAAGACATAAACTTTTAAAGACACATAATAAACATAAAATCCAAAACTTGTATATTAACTAAACTCATAATCCAATATAAAAGATAAAGAGTTGGAAAGATAAAGTAACCCTTGTCACATGAGCTCTTTCCTTGCCTTCTTCATCTCCATCTTCATCTTTGCCTAGCTAATAAACAAGAAAGATGAACTACTAGTTAAACTATCCTATCCTATACTAACCTAACACTAAGAAAATGTAAGAACTACATTTTTGTGGTATTTCTTGTACTCTCCAAGCTCTCTTGAATCTTGTAACTCCATGGCTATTTATAGATGATTTAGTCAAGAAATGAGGCTTCAAACATCACTTTTACGGCTGCAAAGTTGTTGTCATACGTCCATTAATAGCTGTGAATTATTGGAGGAGGAAACAAGTTGTGCAAGTGGAGAGCAACCATTTCTGACCAGAATCCAGCCATAATCCGGCCGGATTGCTCCCCTGCCATCTTAGCAATTTTTGTTCAGTCTTCAAGGCATTCCAATTTTGTATCAAATTCAACTGAACTTTTCTCAATGATAGATGCTGAATTAACTTTTAACCAAAACATAAAACTTGTAGCCCTTTGAGTGAGCTTTCCAATGCATCAAGAATCACCTCAATTGGATTTGTGTATCCATAGTAATTATAGAAATACCCTTGACTGCTTACTGCCTTGTCTCAGCTTCGACCATAGAAAATTAGCTACTGTAATTCTGCTTTTTGACCTAGAAAACCTTCAAACTGGATTTCAATGTCCTCACATAAATTGGAGATCTATCTCTTATCTTCAAAATGGTTCAAAAATCATCTCAATCTGATCATTTTAGCTCTAGTTATAGCCGAAATACGAAGATGTGTCAAAGCTGTCAACTTTCCTTTTCATCCAAATGAAGTATATTTCCAACTCCTATATAAGTTATGGACAAAATGCAAGTAAAAAATGACAAAAACCTCATGTAAGCACTTAAGAGCATTTTAAACTAATTACAGCCAGAATGATCCATTTTCTTCCAATAATATAGTCAAAGTGACTAAAAATAACATAAAATATCATTCAAATATAGTCATTTGTCTTTTTTTTTCCGGAAACGATAGAGATTTTATTGCTAATAAAAGGAAGGTACAATATATGAGCAAGGGCTCAAATTGGACTTTACAAAAGTGTACTAAGACACAGAGGGTCTAGAATCTCCTTATCAAAGTGAAAATGCATTGCTAGCTTACTTAACCTCTTACTTATGCTATTACCTTCAACAGGTAGGCTATCAAATGAGTATCTCCTAAACAAAGAGCTTATGTGTCTTATGTCCTCCAGGTGGCCTGCTATGCACATGTTTCTTGAAGCTTGACATTTTATCAATTGTAATACCTGAGAGCATGATAGTAGAATCTTAATGTACTGCCATCCTTGTGCCATTATCTTGCATAGAGTTAGTTGTAGCGCCAAAAAATGATCCAACATAACAGAACCAGTGCTCCTCTCCTTCAATGCCCATGCTGCACATATCTGGCTTTGGGTGTTTTGTACTGTGATGCCAATTCCCATATTCTACCCTTCAATATGTTGGCCAACTGCAATAGATATGGTCCGCATGTTGTCACTTTCCCCCACCATTTCATCTTGGACTTCTGCTGTCTCTGTTTCTAAGATGCTCAGCTGCTGCTCTATCCGTTGGGCTTGTTGGAATTCCTCCCACTCCTTTACAGCTTTGGTAATTACTGCCATGGGATGCTTATGTTTCTCTTCAAATTCAACTTCATTCCTTGCTTTCCAGATTTGCCACAACATTTCCACAGTCAATGCATATGTTGCATTCCATCCTTACGCCTCTTCACCTCCATCAACATGGTCCACCACCTTCTGAAATCACTTGTCTATTCCGTCAGTCCATCCCACTGTAATGGAGCCATTTGCCATATCAGTGTTGCCTTTCTGCAATGGAAGAAAATATGTTCTATTGTCTCACTGTTGTCCCCACATGTTTTGCATATCAGGTCACCTTTTCCAATTCTTCTAACAATGGTTTCTCTTCCTGGTAATGTTTGGTGTAAGCACCTCCATAAAAACAACTTTTGCTTATGCTTAATCCTCATTTTCCATAGCTGTTTCCATACTTTTTCACAGCCACCTGCCCAACTTGTTTCTCCCCCTACCCGCACGTGTGTTGTGCCTTGCAAATTCTCTCTTGCCAGAGCTTTATATGCTGAACTGACTGTGTAATTTCCATTGTTCCTATTGCTCCAAAAGTAACTATCAGCCCTGCCTGTTATGCTTATAGGCATTTTGAGTATTAACCTTGCTTCATGTTGGCTAAATGTCCTAAAAAGGAGTACTGAGTTCCATCTAAAGTTAGATATCAACTCACTTACTCGACTGATGTTGCATCCTGGAGGTTTAGGGGACTGAATTTTACCATCCCTGCCTTCCTGTAACCATGCGTCCTCCCAGATTCTAATGCTTTTCCCATTTCCAATTCTTTTCCTTGCTCCTTTCTTCACTCCCTCTCTTGCCCCCATCAGACTTTTCCATATCCAGGATGAGTTACACTTTACTTCACAGCTCAATGGTGATGTCTTAGGATAGTATCTAGCTTCATGACTTTACTCATCAATAAATTTGGACATGTGAGGAGTCTCCAAATCTGTTTTCCCAGTAAAGCTTGATTGAAACCTTGGAGATCTTTGAAGCCTAATCCACCAATGCTCTTGTCAGTTGTTATCCTTTTCCAAGAGCACCAGTGAATTTTCCTTTTTCCATTCTCTTCTCCCCACCAAAATCTGGCCATCAATCCATTAATTTCTTTGCATAACTTAACTGGGAGCTTAAAAACCGACATTACATAAGTTGGCATTGCCATTGTTATGGCTTTCAGCAAGACTTCTTTCCCTGCTAGGCTTAACTGTTTATTGCACCAGTTAGAGACCGTCTTCTGACATTTATCTCTGATGAAACCAAAAATTTGGTCTTTCATTCTTGTGACAACCATTGGCAGCCCCAAGTACTTTCCCTGCTTTACCACCCTTATGTTACCTATGATGCTACAGATCTCTCCTTGTTTGTATTGCTCCACATTCTTACTGAAGAAAACTGAAGACTTATCCATGTTAATCATCTAGCCTGATCCTCTTCCATACGTCTTTAATATTCCCATCACTGCTTCAGCTTGAGTTTTGTCCGCTTTGCAAAAGATCAAAGAATCGTCTGCAAAGAAAAGGTGAGTTATTGACGGTCCATGTCTGCTGATTTTCATCCCAGTCAGTCTTTTGTTCCTCTCTGCTTGGGCCAGCAAGTTCAAAAAACCTTCTGAAATGAGCAGGAATAGGTAAGGTGATAGTGGATCACCTTGTCTAATTCCTCTGGAGGGTATCACATAGCCTTTAGGTTCCCCATTGATGTTGAAAGAAAAAGAAACTGTCGAAACACACTCCATTATCCAATTGATCCATGTACTACAAAATCCCATTTTTTCCATGATTGCTTCCAAATATCCCCACTCCACTCTGTCATAAGCTTTCGACATATCTAACTTTAGAGCCATAAAACCTTGTGGACCTTGCCTTTTGTTTTTGAGAAAATGTAAGTACTTATGAGATATAATAACATTATCCAAAATTTGTCTTCCAGGAACGAAAGTGATAAGTGACTAATTTACGTAATAATTGTATGATATTTTATATTATTTTTAGTCACTTTGGGTATATTATTGGAAGAAAATGATTCATTTTGGCTATAATTGGTGAAAAATGTTTTTAAGTGGTTAAATGAGGTTTTTATCACTTTTTACTTGGATTTTGTGTATTTTGACAGTTTTGACACATTTTCGTATTTCGGCTATAACTTGAGCTACAGTGATCGGATTAAGATGATTCTTGAACCAATTTGAAGATAAGAGACAGATCTACAACTTTGGTGAAGACATCTAAATCCAGTTTGAAGGTTTTCCAGGTCAAAATGCCGAATTACAATAGCAAATTTCTACTGGTCGAAACTGGAACAGGGCAATGAGCAGGTAAGGGTATTTCGGTCATTTATCAGCCTACACAGATCCAAATGAGGTGATTCTTGATGCATTGGAAAGCTAACTCAAAGGGCTACAAGTTTTATGTTTTGGTCAAGAGCTAAATCAGCTTTTATCATCAAGAAACGTTCAGTTGAAGTTGAGTCAAAATCGGAGCAGAGCTGGAAATTGAACCAGAAGTGACCAAATGGTCACTGTAGCAATCCGGCCGGAATTTGGCCGGATTTGTGGCCAGATTCCTGGCCGGATTGTGGTCAGAAAAGGTTGCTATGTACGCGTAAAACTCAATTTCACCTCCACCAACTCACATGGGATGCTATACATGTGAGAAACATTCCCAGCTGTAAAAGGGAGATGTAATCCTCATTTCTTGACCATATTTCATCATAAAATAGCCAAGATTGCAAGATTGAAGGGGATCCAATAATATAGAGATGGGAGTAGATAGCAGAGAAGGGAGTTCATAGCAGAAAAAATAGAGAGTGAGCTACGGGAGAAAGCTTGAAGCTGCAGAAATGTAGCTCTTTCATCTTCCTAGTGTTAGTTTAGCTTAGTATAGAGTAGTATAGTTCATCCATTCTTGTTTATTATCTAGATTAGGATGAAGATGGAGGATGAAGAAGGCAAGGAAGAAAGCTCATGTGACAAGGGTTGTATTCCTTCCAAACTCTTTATCTTTTGTATTTGATTCCAAGTTTAGTTAATATACAAGTTCTGGATTTTGTGTTAATATGTGTTTCTAAAGTTTATACCTTGGGTTTGGTTGAACTTTCTATGATTGTTAGTGTTTATTATTTGGTTATTTGTTTGCTATGATTTGAGCAAGTTATTTAGCACTTTGGCTCTTTAAATCATGATTAATCTGGTACCATTGATTGTGATTATCTAAGGTGTTGTTTCTGCAATGAAAATTGAGATTTAACACTAGTTCAAGAGGTGCTAAACATAGGGAGTACACTCACGAAAGTAGAGGTGCACTTATGTGGTTTTTAGTGATTCATTTCATGTAATTTCATTGAAGAAATGAACTTGTAGCTAATTTCATAACCATGAAAATAGGTATGGATTAGTTATGAGTATAGTTGATTCACTACGAAAGTAGGTTTCAAATGCATAAGGAAATTACACCATAACTAGCCTAGATGTAGTATTCAATGATCCAAATATAGCACTTGCATGAGTAGTTAGGGATACCACAACCTAAGGAGCTTTCATTTGTTATTTTGTATAATTTCAGTAGGTTAAATTTGTTATAATTCATTGATAGTCTAAATAATAGAGAAACTTTAGTAATACCGGTAATTGTTCACTCTTCCCTGTGGGATCGACCCGATATATACCCTAAACTACTAGTTGATCTGTATACTTGCAGTGAACGGGTGTAATTCGGTATTTTTTAACTTGCACGTATGTAAAATACCCGTCAAGTTTTTGGCGCCGTTGCCGGGGAAGATTTGGCAATATCGGTGTGAAGAGTAACTTTATTAGTTTAGACATAATATTAGTTATAATGTGAATGTTATTTTCTGTTATTTTTGTGTTTTATGTGTGTATGTGTTTTATACCTATTCTTCTTACTAATTTTGCTCTTAAGTTGTTTAAAAGCAATTTTAGGTAATGAGAAGGGTAGGTCAATTTGGAGGACAATGCTTGAGAAGTGGAAGATTGGCAATGGATGGTTATCAAGTGCAAAGCTCCTTCAACAGAGGTAACCAAGAATTTACTGAATGTATGTCTTTTGAAGATGGTTTAAGGTGCTTAAAGGCAAAATTTGATGTAATTAAGTTACAAGTTCAAATGGACACCATGATGCATGAAATTGAGCAAGGAGGAATGTTAATGCTTTTAATTCTTATCATGTGATTTGTGACTTGTGTGGAGGTTATCATGCTACTAATACATGTATGCAAGCACAAAATGTGGATTATTATGATGAATTAGAGCATTACAATCCTTGTTTTGATCAATATAGTGCTAATTGGAGCAATTCTCCTGCTTATGGTTGGAATAATCAATGTACTTATAGTGATAATTCATGTTTTTATGATTACCAACCTGAAAGTGTCCAATATGAATCAAAACCATCTTGGGAGTTGGCAATAGAGAAGTTAGCTAATACACCTCTACCTTGGGAGTTAGAAAGTGAACCATTAGCTAATGATTCTAATGCATCTTGGGAACTAGCTGTAGAGAATTTTTCTAATCAATTTGATTTAGCCATAGAAAAGCTAGCAAATGCAACCTCTGACCGTTTTGATAGGATTGAGGAAAGGTTAGATGAATTAGCTTCTCACTTTGGTGATATACATGAGCAATTGAATGTATTGTGTGAAGTTATTTCTTCTAATAATTTGCAAAATGATCCTAGCATGAATGGTGGAAATGTTGTATGTGAAAATGGATTGCATTTTGATGAAAATGATGAATCTCAAGAGTGTTTTAATGAGCAAATATCCATTTCACATGATAATATCTTTGGAACTAACTTTGAACCTCAAGAGGTGAGTTTTAATGACTCATTTTTCACCCCTCTTGAGGAGTGCATTGAAAGTATAGGTTCTAAAGGTATTCCTGCTCAAGATACTCTCATGACATTTCTTTTGGTAAGTTCTCAAGTGGTGCATATTCAAGGTAATATCTATGAAACACTTGAAATATGTAAGTCACTTCCATCTCTCAGATCATTAGATCATGTGACTTTTTCTATTAAGTCACCTTACAATGATCCACCAAGGCCTAAAATGGTGGATTATTCGTTAACTAAGCCTCCTTGAAAAATGAGGTGATATAGTCAAGCTATTGACTTTAAAGAAGCGCTTATTGGGAGGCAACCCAATGCTTGTTTAAGTTGGTGTTACTTTGGAGTGATTTTATGTTTAAAGTATAAGTTTGAGTAATTTTGTTGTTTTTCATTTGTAGGTTTTGAAAAAGTGACCAAATGAGGTGAAAAGGGCGAAGTTTGATCAAAGATCTCAATACCTCAAATTCAGTGGCAATGGCAAGAGTTCATGCAAATGATCTCAATTGCAAAGGTGTTTATATTAAGGCAAAGGGAGTTTTCATGTTCAATTGCTGCATTTCATGCATTTAAAGTGTTTCATGTTTAAGTTATATTCATGCATGATCATGTTAAATTTGAATTTTATTCAAAGAACATGAAGTGGGTTGAATGTGGAAGGTTGGCCAAGCAAATTTGGAGGAAAAACTGCAGAAAACAGCTTTTTCTGCAGCAAATCCGGCCATAAATCCGGCCAAATGTTGGCCGGATTGAAGGCCGGATAGTCAGGGGAGAAAAGAAAATTTTTTCGAGCATTCTGGACAGGATCCGGCCGAAAATCCGGCCTGAAATCCGGCCAAAAACTGGCCGGAATGAAAAAAAAAAAAATCCACTGTAGCAAATCCGGCCAAGAATCCGGCCGGAAATCCGGCCAAAAACTGGCCGGATATGCAACAGTAAAAAAAATAAATAAATAAATTTTCTGCCCAGAATCCCTCCACGAATCCCTCCAATTTCTGGCCGGATTGTGAACAGTAACCAGCGTAAGATGAATCCGTTTCACGGATTCCTCACAATTTTTCTTCCTTTTTCTTCAACCCAACTCACACACTAACACCTCAAACACACACTACTCACTAAACTCACTCTTTTCACCATCCAATCTTCAAACCAACTATACCAAAACACTCCCCTTTTACTTGAGAGATGATTTCATAGCTAAAAAATTCTTCAAAAACAAGTCTAAATTCGGATTTTAGCTTAGCAAGAACAAGGGTTTCAAATTTTTGAACTCTTCATTTGAGGCCGAATTGGAGTGAAATTTTTGGGGGTTTCATCACCATTGGCATCCATAATCATCAACCAACAAGTTTGAGGTAACAAATCTTCACCAAATGTTGTTATTTGAATTTTGCCAATTTTTATTTTTTTTTTCTATTTTTGGGCAATTTCGAATTTTTTTCATTTTGTGAAGTTTGGTGCTTTACATTGTGCTTATTGAGGTTATTGATGATTATTGGTGATGTTTAACTCATGATTTTGTCATTATTTGGTGAAATTTTGCTAATTTTATGCTTAATTTGGCTTAGTGATCAAGTTGCATATTAAGTGGCCAATGTAGCATTTTAATTAGTTTTGTGGGAGTTTATGATATTCATGTGAGTAATTTAGATTACCTAATGAATGAAAAGGTGCTTGGTTGAATAATTTCGTAAATTCTTAGGTAATTCTAAAAGAAGAGGTGAATTGAAGATGACCTTAATTGATGAAATTCATAAATGCACTTATAATCCTTGTGGTTCAATGGTTTTTAGTATTTCATGAATTCTCAAGAAGGTCATCTATATTTTGGTTTGGTGTGTTTGTCTCCATTTTGAGATTACTTTTGTACTTGAGGGGATTTGATCATTGATGACAAAATGTATAAATGGAACTTATTTTGTTCATGATTGTGGATTTTTTGTGTGAAATTAGCTTCCCTTTGCTTTGGATACTAATGCATATA